GCCCCTGCAAGCTCTACAAAAGTTGATCTATAAATCGACTGCGCAACGTGAAAATCAGTTGGCCAAAAGTCCAACCAGATGCAGTCAGAGACGTGCTAGACACTTTTGAGCACATGATGGAAACACCGCACATGCATTTTTTTCAATTTTGCTTAGACAGACATATTTTTATTCCCTGTGTGCTCACTTGTAAGCTTATTAATAATACCAGTGAAGACCCCAATGGTTGCCAGGTGCAATAACCCCTAGAAGTTTGTTGTCCTGCGGTCAGACCATCTAAGAGATGGATTTTGATTGGTCAATTGGGGTTGCAGGCACTTCACACATCGCTTTTGCTCTTTGCCCTGCTTCCGAGCGAGCCTGAAAAGGAGCGTTGTCAATACTGTATTCCTCGCCCTGGAAACCGAGCAGGTCAGCGCCTTCCTCTCTCTCCACCCCTCTCCCCCATTGGTTACTGAGGCTTCATATTTCGGAGTCTAGGTCATCTGCAACCGACTCCACTGTACTATGGCTGCACCAGTGTGATAAACAAGGAGAAATTCTTTCTCGGATTAAAGGATTAAGATCTGAAAGGTGATTCAAACTCTTCCCCACGTCGAGAAACATAAATAAGAGGAAGGAATCCTTCATATTCTTGTTTTTGCTCGACTCATTGTCCCCTTTAATTAATGAGAGTGATGGAGAGATTTTTCCAGGGGATTAGATGCTGCTCATTAGCTTGTCCTGATCGCGTAACAAGTAGGGACATTGTTAAAAGGCCACTCGGCATACCGTATTTATCATTCTCTACATGACGCTGATGGGTCTCCGTTTTGTCTCGCAAATTGCGCTAAGCAAATCAACCAGTGCTAATGAAAACTGTACAGATGAGTGAAAGGAAAATTAAAGGGGCCTTTGCAAGTGATTCATTTCTATTGCATAGTAGTGTTGGGGGGGAAAAGGGGAAAAAATGTCTTCTACAATCTGTTAGAATTAGTCAACCTAAAACCAAAAATGTGAGTTTTTGGTAGATGTTGGATAATTAAATCCCCACTAACTGTTTCATATGTCTATTGGGGACTCCGACCATCACTGCTGGATTTGTGTTTTTGATTAGAGGAAAGCAATAGGAAGAACTGAGGCACACAACACATAGATGCTCACTGGAGCTACTTGTACAGTCCTGCATCTTGTACCTCTGTCCTGATGATGCTGGTTCCCGGGATCACAGCATCACCCTTATCTTTGCATGCTCAGTAACTCAAAAAAAGTGTATTAACTGAGGACACTGCAGCGGCGATACGACAGTTCCTGCATTATTACGGTGGGACAGTGTTGGAACATGGGCATGGTCTGGACATGACCTCTTGGAAAGTAGGCATATCAAGTGTAGGCCATGGGTGGGGGTGACCGTGTACTTGGCTACTGGGACCAATATGTTGATAACTATGATAGAGGTGGGCAGAGACACCCAAAACTTTCAGACCATCGGGAACAGAGGATAATATTGAGAGCAATTACTGTGCACGTGCAAGGGAAGTAAATATTCTAGGTGAATAGTTATTTTAGATTGTAAGCCCTCAGGGGCCGGGCCCCCCTACCATCTTGTCTTGCATTGTATTTTAATTATAATGTCTTCCTTATATTGTAAAGCGCTGCGCAAACTGTTGGCGCTCTATAAATCCTGTATAATAATAATAATGACTGGAGCAATTACTGTGCATGTGCAATGGGAAGAAAGCATCCTAGGTGCAGAGATTATGAAGCAGCTCAGCTTTTGGGTGCCGACAACGAAGGGGGAGAAACAGGCGGTTGAATAGCGTTGTTGGCCAAGAGCAGGAAAATGTCAGGATCAACAGGTCATTTGTTCCTAGCAACTTAAATTAAAGGAGAACTATGGGGTTAGGGCTTTTCCCTATAGTTCTCCTAAGGGTAACGGGAGGACACAAACTAGCGTCCTCCCGTCACCCTAAGCTCAGTATACCGCGAGCTACAGCTCCCGGTATACTGAGACACCGCATCCGGGAACGGATCCTGACAATTATGTCTGGATCCGCCCAGCTGCGTGAGTGACAGCTGGCTCTGCCTATCTAGAGGCAGAGCCAGCTGTACCTGCCCCCTCCCCCGTCTGTTCCGCCAGTCAGCGCTGGAGGATCGGAGGGGGGAATCCAGTCACTCTCCTGTCACGGCTCTCTGCCGTGACAGGATCTAGAAGTGAGCGAACGCCAGTATGTGTTCGCTCACTTCCAGATCTACTGAGCCGACCTGTGACAGTTTCATTGTCACAGGTCGGCTAGAACTATGAGGATGAGTGAAAAGCACTTGCCTCATAGTTCTCCTTTAAGAGAAAGGAGCATATAACCTGCAGAATACAGATTTTCATGTATGACTGCAGAGACACTTCGAATCCTAGGATCCTGCCTACTTGCCTTTAGGAAGGCCTTGACCATCGGTGACTAATACGCTCATGTTTTACTGCAGAATAATAATTATTACTCTTTATCGGAGCGTGTAGAGCCTTGCAAACCCCCTTCTAGTTACTAAATATAGAAAGGCACGTCTGCCTGCCGAAACTTGTTATTTAAAGAGAAATCGGAGGGATGCTTAGCAAAAGTGCCCGTGCCTTTATATAGTAAGCGGAGAGGTGCGTATTGTGTATCTCATTCTACACACATCACTTTCCCTGGCAGTGTATCCGCACTCTGCATTAATCATTCAGTGTTTAGCCAGCGACGTGACTTGTGCGCAGGCCGGCCCCTCTACAAAGTAGATTACTTTCCTGAAACAAGCCAGGCCTATTGATTTACACTTCCCTTATCGACAGTTCCCCGGTAGCAATGAAAACAGCTGTGATAGCCCAATACGAAAACAACGCATCGCAGCGCCTTTTCTGCTCCGAGGGATCGTGAGCCTTGTGACTTATGTGGCTTTGTTGATTATTAAAGCAGGTTTTACAGGATAAAAAAGGACTTTCTAATGGTCTAATCTGTATTCCTAGCTTAGCTCCACAAAGTGAAAGGTGTCAAAACATTATCTGTTTGCTGACGACTTCAACTTGCCGTAGTTCTCTTCCAAAAACGACAGAGAAAAGCTGATTGGTTGCCATGGGCGACTGCTCCAGTGTTGATAAATTCCCCTCTCTGTGGTAACTATATATGCTCATATGCAATGTTCTTTCTGACTAGTAGTTCTTCACAAAGCTATTAATCTCATTGCAAAGATTTAAAAGCAGAGGTGGTAGCCAGGCAGGTAACATTTTCAGCAGGTCAGCAATCGTAGGCCCTGTATTTCTCTCTTTTTAATAAAAGTGCTGACCCGCACCCGGGTGACACCATTGCAGGGATGACACCAAAAAGACTGATAGTCATTTTGGTGTCACCCCCTCTAAAAGGTCAGGCACTCGGTCATGGACCGAGAGTCCGACAGTGCCAGGAGAGAGGAGGGGACCCGGCGGCATACCTCATCCCGCCGGGTGATTGTCCCCTCCTCTCTCTGCCGGCGTCCATCACCAAGATGCCACCGGCAGGCGTCAATCAGATGGCCATACATGCGCGATAACGACACAGCGGGGTGTCACCCGGTCTTAGATCCTGTGGACCTGTTCATTCATTGATAGGAAACATTGAAAAGTGATGAAAGTCACTTAGCAGTAAAGCTGGCTTAACAAAGCTATTATTCATGTACAGTAAATTGTGTAAGAGGGGATTTTCCAAACCGCACCAGTAAAGGGCAATTCTACCCAGCGCGGAGCAGTTTTTAGATGTGCCAGGAAATGATCTTTATATTGTGGTGTGTTATCTCGTAGATAAGGACGTGCCTCAGAGGGTACCGGGCTTTAAACAGCAAATGTGACCTTACTGGGTGACACGAAAGGGATTTTCACATGTGTCTATTTATATATCTTTATATTCATTAGAAAAAGTATATTTAAAGCCCAATTGCACTTTTATTTTAAATGAGCTAAATATATCCCACGTACATCAAAACACAATGATGTGCAAACTCTTTCAGTTTCTGTTTTCTTTAGAAAGCAGTCACGGCCTGAGTAGAGAAGCCTGCCCCCTGCCAGCACACTGCAGAGACGGACCCTTGATCTCTGTGTGGAAGCAGTGGTCTCTCTGCAAAGCTTTGACTCTCTCCCTGCTGAAACCTATATCGCTACAATAAGCTCACTGCTGATTTGGAGAACTCTAGCCGACTCTCTGCAGGGGGTATGTCTGTAGAGAGGCCGCTGATTCCACATAGAGAGCTTCTCTTTAAAGCAAGGGTAGCCAAACTCCGGCCCTCCAGCTGTGGTGGCACTACAAATCCCATGAGGCATTGCAAGATTCTCACAGCTACGGACATGACTCCCGGAGACAGATGCAACACACCTGGAGGGCCGGAGTTTGGCTACTAGGGTTGCCACTTGTCCAGGATTCACAGAAAGATTCATGTGTCCGGGTTTCTCAGCAGAAACCCGGACACATGATGTCAGGCAGACTGGGGCAACCAACATTAAGATAGGGGCTACTGGCCCCCCACTGAAAATAGTTGCAACTGTGATATTTCCATATGAATAAGCTACGACCCCATTCTCCCCAAAAAAATGTCCGCGCGTCGCTAGAGTGTTCGGGTTTTGCTTCAAGAAAAGGTGGCAACCCTATTGGCTACCCCTGCTTTAAAGTGACCCTAACCTCCGCAGGTAAATCGTAGTGCATTCAGGTACCTTAACTATGAACAACAATGTATCTTATTTGTGTATCGCTCGGCTGTAGATCCTCCAATCATCTCTGAATTGGTGCTGACACTGTCCTTCCTTCTGGAGGGTGGCTACTTTTGTTCTCCATGGTCCCTGTGTGTGTTTTAAAGTAGTCACCGCTCCAAGCTCACTCGCGGGATGGACTACAATCTCATTACAAATGAGTAAACTAAACATGAGATTGTAGTCCATCACAGGCGTGAGCTTGGAAACTCTGCACCTACCACTCTTAATTATTTATTACTTTTAAAGGAGTGGTAGGTGCAGAGCAAGCTTGCAGGGGGAACAGCCTGATGTTGGTTAGTTAGTTCAGTGACACGAAGGAGATGCAAATTGTGGTGTCGCCCTTCTGGCTGAATGGTGAATCATGGAGCAGCCATTCTTATCTCGAGCCTGATGGCAGCTTTCGGTCAATTACATTAGGCATGTTTCAAGAGATTACATTAGCTGATTTTAGGGTGGCCATACACTAGTAGATTTTCGAAAGACCTTTCGCTCGAATTTCTATTAGTTGTCGGGGTCAAATCGATCATCAATTTAGTCTGTAGCTACGAAAAAAGTCAAAAGGAGCAGGATGGGAAAATTCTAACAGTGTATGTGGTTTGCATTCAGGAAACTCCATTCATTCCAAAATGTTAAAATTAGGGACAGGGCCTCTCTCTCTGCTGCCCCAAGGCCAGGTTCCTCAATGCGCCCCCTACCCGCCAAACCCCCCCCCTCCCCC